TAAGAACACTTCTACACAAAGTGTTGCAATTTTGTCGCAGAATCAACCTTTTATTTTAAACCAAGACAACAACATTTACCCTAACAATAGTATTCGAAATAATGAACCTCCGGACATTGATTAAAATCCAGAATCACCTAAGAAAACAAAAAAAAAGGGTAAGAAATCCACGGTTGGAGGAAAAAGTGCTCAGCTGAAGAATTCAGGTCAGGAGTATATTTCTCGGACGGGCAAGATCATTCCTGCTAAAGAGATTAAGCCCCCGTGCTCTAACAAGCGCAAACATAAATGTTCAGAACACATCTCAGAGGAGCAAAGATAATGATATTTTCAAAATGTATTGGGATTTATCCTCTCTCCAAAGACAGCGTGATTTTTTTTGAATTCGACAATAACTGTGCTACAACTGGCACAACGTCGTTTGAAAACTGGTGTAGAAAAGAACAGAAAACCTAATACTTATTATTCCTTGATGTCTAATGGTAAGAGTTTCAGGGTATGCAAATTATTTTTGTTGAATACATTGGGGATTTCCGAACATACTTTACGTACCGTAATCGAGGCCAAGACAAATAATGAATCTAAAGGCGTAGCACCAATTAACAAACGCGGCTGCCGTAAAAACCATAGAAAAACTAGTTTTGAGGTACAAGAGTCTGTTCGGATTCATATAAATTCAATTAGTAGATTTGAAATCACTATCTCCGTGTTAACACCACTAGAGAATATATTGATGGTGGCTTAACAATAGCTGATCTGCATCGCGATTATAAGAGATTAAGAGAATCCGAAAACAAAGAGGCTGCAACTTACGATTCATACTTTCGCATATTTAATACGGAATTCAATATTTCTTTTTTTGTGCCAAAAAAGACCAATGCGATGTCTGTGAACAATATAAAAATGCTGTTGGTGAGGAGAAAGAAAAACTAGAGGCTGACTACACAGAACATTGCCGGCAGAAAGTACTTAGTCGATTGGAAAAGAAGACTGATATAGAAATATGTAAGAATACAGATAGTAATGAAATAGTTGCAATTTATGATCAAGCAGTCATGCCAGTGCCAGTCGGCGAGTCCTCGTCTTTTTACTATAAATCAAAATTAAACTGCTTTAACTTTACAGTATGTACCTATTATGGCTCAAAATATTATTTTATGCACTTTTTTTATGAATAGTTTGATAACCGTCTTGTTTATAGGTATCAGATGTAAAGGACCGACAAACCTATTGTTACTTTTGGCGTGAGGCTATGGGAGGTAGAGGAGCAATTGAGATTGGTTCCTGTATCCTTAAATACCTGCAACGTGTCGCTAATAATCACCCCGGTTGTAACATCACATTTTATAGCGACAATTGTGGCGGGCAACAAAAAAACAGGTTCATTTCATTTGTTAAGAACTTTTTTGTAGTTTTATGCAGTGTCTAATATTTTCTATATTTTTTTTAGATTTATATTTTCCATGTACTTGTATGCAGTCAAAACTCTACCAATCAATAAAATCACACACAAATTTTTAATAAGGGGACATACACAAAATAAGGGAGATACGGCCATAATTGAAAAGGCAATAAAAAGAGCTAAAAAATCGGGCGCTATTTATGTACCAGATCAGTACAAATAATAAGATCTGCAAAGATAAAACGTAACCAATTTATTATTGAAGAACTGAATTTCGATGATTTTTATGACTTGAAAAAATTATCGGACGAAATCGAACTTAACACTGTCAAAGATGTAGAAGGAAACACCATAAAAACCTCAGATCTGAAAGCAATAGAATTTACCAAAAAAAAAAATGATGCAGTATACAAGTACAAACTCAAATTCGACGATAACTGGAATGATGCTGAAATAAAAAAAAAACAAAGATCTACTAGTCAACGAATAACTAAGGCTATAGAAGATATCAATGTGGTTCCAGCGTATACTTCAAAAAGAGAAATTTTCGCAAACAAGATAAATGATTTAAAAGAACTGTTACAAAAAAACATAAGTCCTCGGTATTACTCAGCTTTTTATGAAAGTATTTTCTAAAGTTTTTTGTTTCTATTGTTTAAGTATTTTTACACTTACGCGCATACTAGCGCATATCACTTAGTTAAAAGTAGATAAGTAAATAATCTGTGATTTTGTGCCAATAAGACTTACAAATTGTGATCATACTTAAGTATTAAGATGTTTCCCCTTTTAATCTTAAGTAAACCTAGTGAACACAGGATATACCTACATGGATGTTTTTCCTTAAGTTTATTTTTTTAAACATTCATAAATAAATGTTTACGTTGATTAATTAAATTATTTAGTTTTATTTTGTCTCAAATGCAAAATTTCCTAGCAGACGCGTTATTTTTTATATTGAATTCTGAAGCAACAGTGACGTATTTACAGGTACCTTCTTTTATTTAGGTCTATAATCTAGGTTATGTACAATGTACCGAGTAGATTGGGACTATAATAGAAACTACATATATTGCACTTACATTTAAAATCACGACGATTGTAATAAGTCCCTTCAAAATGTCATACCTTTAATAGAAATCTTTGATTGGATCTCCTGTAAAATTTCTAAAAGTGTAATTACGTCATTGTTGCACCAAATGAGCGATATGACTTTTAAGCTGTGTTCCAATGCCCCAAAGGAGATACCCCATTATTCTAATATGTAAGCAAGTTAAATAACTTTTAACTTTACTATTTATGACCTTCATTCTATAGCAGTCAAATGTTGTCTGGTATGAATCTTCAGCCAACAGGGACGTTTATGATTTGGGCAAATGCGTTTTTAAATATTTACAAAAACCGGCCCAAACTAAAACGCAGTGGTGCGTAGTGGACGTAAAATTTTATACGGAGAACTGTGTAGATCAGCAAAAAAATTAAATGATATTGACTATGTACATGTTTGTAGTGCAATCTTAACTCGAACATAAAAACAATTACTCAGAAAAGGGCCACATCCAAAACGAAGGTGACTGTGCACATTCTCTCATTGAAAGGAAGGTTAAAAAAATCAGAGATGGTCCAATATACTCTCCTGAGGCCTTCATTAGTGCAATCAAAATGCTCAAAGATCAGAGACATACCAAAACCTGATCCTTTTCGGATAAATATAATGAACAGTGATAACTTTCTCGATTGGAAAGATGTGGGTTCGCAAATGAGTGTAAACATAACAAGATACGAAGACGGAAATACTATCAAAATTCCACTTCTTATGATGAGCAGGAGTTTAGAAAAAAAGACGTGATAAAAAAGAAAAAACCTGTAGAAATTGAAGTGAAAAAAGTTTGTAGGAAAACCCGGACTAAATAAAAAGAAAAAAGGGTTGTTCGATTGATCAATAAAAATGCCATTCCCAGATATTACGCACCTTTTTATACATACTCTTTCTCTAGAGTCGTTAGTTTTAGTTGTCACATTTTTTATTTTAGATTCGTACGTAAAAGTTCATGATCTCAAGACTATTAAAAAGATGATGAAAGAACAAGAAAGAGAACAATGTCAAAGTGATTTAAAGTTTAATTGAAAGTTAGGGCCTTTTTGTGATCTTACTATAGATTTTGTGTCTATTTTATTATAAACTATTAAAAGGCTAAGTAATAAACACAAATATTTTTTAGCCTTTTAATAACGACTTAGTTTCATTTAAAACCCACCTGAGAAATATTTGTATTTGTATAAATAATTTAAAAAAATAGTGCTATATCTAATTTAATCGTAAGGTCATAAGTGCTAGGAATTATAACATAAGTTTTTGCATTTAAGTAGCTGTTCTAGTTTAGCATTGATAAATAACATAGAATACTATAATACATACATAATAGAACGGGGGAGTGGGCGGAACCCGTGTAGCCACTAAAATGTCACTAACACGTCAATTCACACGTATAAATGTCAACACGAGATGTTTTGACGTACAATCATTTCCAAATTTCGCATGCAAATTATTTAGAAAATGCCAAATTGCACTCAATTTACAAATAGATATGTATTAAAGTTTAATGATGATCTTGAAAATTAATCAAAAATCTAAAATGTGTGAATTTACTCAGTCTGTCAACACAGCGAATCGGGTTTGGCGACGCCAATCCTCGTTTAAAATAAAATTGACGGCCATTCTATTGTGTATTATAGTATTCTATGATAAATAAGGACATTCAACAAGTCAATCTTTGTAAAATTATTGTATTATGCATTTGTTATATATTAAACTGAAATCATGATACACAAAAATTACTCTTTGTTCAATAATGCCAAGCTTCTCGTAAATGAGCGATATTCTGAATATCATATACCCAAACGTTTAGTTTTAGTATCATTTAATACTAAAAAGGTATAAGTTAGGATTTGTAAATACACTTTATCAATCAGAATCAAACATCTTTAAAAACAAAACTAAGTCTGCTTACAAATTCTAACTTATTATAACAAGCAAAGCGAGCGGCTAAAACAATGTTCTTAAATGTTAAGTAGGATTGCATAAATGCACCAAATCACTAAATAACATGTTTCCTAAAATGTCAAAATTGAAAATAAGATTTGAGCTTTTATTTTCTCTAAATTTGAAACGTAATACTGACACTGTTTTAGTTTAAACAAAGTAGAAAAAGTAGTAAAACAGATATAATGTTTAAAAATTTTAAATCGAAACATTTGAACATTTTGAGAAAGTACCACTTCATTACGAATTAGTGAAGTTGAAGCCGTAAGTGAACAGGTTTTTACGGCGATAGCCCTTATAACCACTACTTTCTTAAGAATCGACTGTAAATGTTCAAATACTATGCACCATATGTTTCCCAGAGAATTTAATTATAAAACAAATAAATATTTTCTCTGATAATGCCTACACTACTCTAGCAAAAATAGAATAATGTACGGTTTAATTGACTGCCATAAAATTAATGTTCGCAAATAAGTCAAAACTTGCATCACAAGGTTTTTGTGATGATTCAAACTGCAACTTGATAAAAAAAAAACTTTGCTATTTTTTTATTCACACACCTAAAATACAATTTTCTTCGCTGTCACTTTCAGTGACCGTCTTATCAGTTATTTGTGGCGGCACGTCCATAAACTCAAGAGGAACATTGTAGCTTTCTACAGGCGTTATGTTATTAATTTCGACAGTAGATTCATCGCTATTATTTGTGGGCAGGGCTTTGATGCGCTTTACTTTTTTCGCTAGTGGCTCATCATCAGAAGAATCGGAATCCAACTCACATATTTTTTTATGTTTATCTTTACTATCTCCAGAATTTCTATCTTTATCGAGATTTTTCAAGTTTTCTTTTGAAAGTGCTTTAGTCGAATGTTTTACAACCGCACTTTTTGGTAATATTTTAATGTATTGTGGTTTTTCCCTTAATGGAAGATAGAATTTAGCTAGAGCATTTTTTACTTTTTTATCTAAATTACTGAGTTGTAACATTTGCGGAAAACCCTTTTTTAATATACGTGGTCGAACAGATTTAAACAATTTTAATGGTTGAGCGTCATTGCTTACATTATTTTGGTGTTTGACATCTACCACATATTTCTTAATAAGTGGTTGTATGGATTGGCCTTCGGAGTGGTTCTCACTGGTTTCTGTCAATTCAACAGAGTTATCACATTCATCAGTCAAGTCAATGACCGATTCGGTGTCTTTTGGCAAGTTTTTGCGCCCTATTTTTCTTATGGATATCTTTATTCTTTTTATTGGCTTTTTGAGTTTGGATTGGTCATCTTTGTTTATATTGTCAATAACTGTCTTAGACGATGAGGGAATTGAAGAAGGCAGTAGTTTTGGTACTGAATATTGAGGTGATTCCTCAATAGGAGTAAAGGCATCTTCTGGCGAAATTCCTGACAATGTCATCAAATCAGACAATATTGTCTTTCGGTTAGTATCAGGTATACTTATACCACAGGTATTTTCTTGTTTTGTATCTGCTGTTTCATCTTTAGTTTCCGTATTATTGTCTGTTGTCTGATTAGTAATATTAGACTGTATATTAAGCACTGATTGACTGTTTAATTCCACATCATCAGGTGTTTTCAGATTATTTGTTTCTGAATTACTATTTTCAGGTACAGAATAACTATGTTCATTATTTAAGTTCGATATATTCTCAGAGTTGTCTTCAACTACTCTTATTTGAGTTTCACTTGTTGCTAACCTTGTCCTTGTGTCATCGATTTCACAGGAGTCATCAACATTTAGTACAGCATCCTGAGGCAATACTTGCATGACTCCCGTCTCGGCGAGGTGCTTTTGAACAGCTGTAAGAATTTCTGGTAAGTTAGCTAAACAATCTTGATCTATTTGCATTCCAGCATCTATGGAGACGCTTAACGTATTGTCGGGTAAGAGTAATAAATTAACGCCTTTCGGTAAAAGCATGTTATTAGAATCCATATTAGTCGCCATTACTGCGACATCCGTATTTTCATCATCATCTAACGTTATTGTTTCAATGTGTGAACATTCCTCGATTCTGATTCTCTGTTCAAAATTAATTATAGCAGAATTAGGCAAGAGGTTCTGTTTTTTGGATTGCTTTTCGACTGCGGCTTTTTCGTACTGAGGAGAATAGTTAACAGCACTTACTATTCTTGTTTTCATTAAACGCTTTGGTGCCTTTGAAAGTATTTCATTTTTTGGATTTGTTTCTTTATTTACATCTTCTGTACATTCACTTTCTTGTATTACATTCTCCTGTATTCGAACAGGTTTTTCTGGAATGTTGTCTTTTTGAAATGAATTGCAGTCTTCACTAAAGGTCGACTCCTTTAAAGAAACTAGAGCTGACAAAGCTTCGTTGGTCTCTTTTTCACTTTGCAAATCATCAAGTGTAATACTTGGTAAACTCGGTAAGGGGAATTGAATTGAAGAATCAGAACTTGCCCCAGGTGTTATACTATCAATTGTAGCTACTTGTGTGGTAGGAGCAGTGTGAACTTCAGAGTAAATATTTGTATTATCTTCATAACTACTGATATATTTATTTATATCAAATTTTTTTCGAGATGAAATGGCGGATAATTGGCCTTGTTTTCCAGTACGGCTATCTTTTGCGTTTGAATCTGACTTATTTTCAGGATATAACATTTTATTTAAAAGAAGATTACGACAGCAGCAATTGCAAAGTGGTTTAGGACATAAATGTCTCAATCTTCTTCCGTATTGTGTAAAATTTTGTATTTTATATTGAGCCCAACAGCAATATCCACTTTGTGTTGCTATCGTTCGATTCGGTTTTGCGATATTTTTCTTAGACCTTTTCTTTTTAGAGCCATTTGACTGTTGTAGGAATGCTACACTTTGTCTTAATTCCATTTCATCTATCAAATCACCCGGTATATTTACACTTTTTTCATTACTTACTGTTTGTTTGTTTTCTTCAATTAATTCATTTGATTTTACTTGATTAGCTTCATGCTCTTTCAACGGTGTGTCATCTTTTTTATGTTTTGATTTTGACAATGGTTCGTCATTACCATTTAGCAAGCAAAGTACCTTATTGAGAGTATCTTCTGTAAGCAAAGTGTCATCATCAATTCTTTCTTGAGGGACGCGTACGCTCCATGATGGTATTGTACGTGATGGTCGTATTTTTGGTATCGGCACTGTCCGCTTCATAATTTTTTTCTTTTTTTCTTCCTGTACATTAGAGGGATTTTCATGGTTGGCTTTAGGCGTCGAATGTGAATGACTGTTTATTTTATCTTCATCTGTGGGTTTAATTAACTGTACTGGTGGTTTATTATATGCAAGATTGTTTTTTAAAGGAATTGGACTAACTTCTGCAGTTAATAGCTTTTGATTGACACGACGTATTTCTTCTATATCAGGAAGATTTATAGATCTACTTCGTTCAATTACACAATAATTGTTTACTGGCGTGTTGGACACATCAATTTCTTCTTTTGTTGGTAATAATTCTTCAACACTTACTTTACTATTGTCAAGTAAGCTCTGAACAGCAATTGCAGATGGAATTACTGACGCTGTATTTTCACAAACGTCACTTTTCTCTTGTTTAATGACTGGTGTATCAGAGGCTTCTAGATGCAGCGTGTTATTGTCAAGTTTCGTTTCGAAAGCTTTGTGAAGATCTATTGTTACTGGTTTGCAAGCACTAAAAAGTTGTCTATTTCGTTCAATTGAGAAGAATCCTACTGTTAACCTTTTTAAACGTGTATTAAAATCCGGATTTTTGCATAGCTGTATTGGATTATAACTACGAAATTTTGGCTTTTTCAAGAGCCAACTTGTGTATTTCACCCTATGAACAACATCATTAGTTTCAGAATCACTATCGCTTTCATCTTCACTTATTTGTTCCTCTTTGACAGGTACTTTTATTGTAGGTTTACTTTCATTAAGAATGCTTTGTATTATGTCATCACCTTTCACTTGAAAGTAGCTAGTATTTTTTAATATAATCATATCATCTAATTTTTTTGTAAATGTTATGGGAAACATAATTAATTTTTGATCAATTTTAAATGTAGCATCATTCTCTCCTACAGACTCATCGATCGCTTCTTGTTTAATTTCTGTTCTAATATCACCCCCTGAAAAATAACATTATTCATTTTTAAGTAACTCTTTATAAATTGTACAAGTAAACACATTGAAGTATAATTTATCGAATGTATATAGAAATAAAAAAATTACATCTTATTTCATTCACACCGACTACGACATCATTGGAACGAGACAAGGCGATGAAGTCACTACGTTACGACCTCGGCTCAAATTCTAATTTCGCCCCCACTTCCCCGCGCGTCGTATGCTATCAACCTATATGTTTGTAATCACTAATACTATACGTAGATGGTCCGTAGACACTTATTTAATTACGTTAATCATATTTTTGCCTGTTTCTTAACGTCAATCTAGTCGCTACCAATTTTTATTATGGATATTTCCCATTTTAATTTTACGTCGCTCTGTTGCGTGAAGCGTGTTCTGAGTCTAAGCGACACAGCTCTCCCGTTCAAAAGTCGAAGTTAGACTGAGCGGGGGTGTCGGGCGGCAGGGAATAAACTTCAAGACACCGATAGTTTAGGTAATTTGTTTTCACGGTTAAAATAATGGTAATTAAAAAAATATAAGACCTGGTTAATAAATACTTCTGTCAGTATGCAAAGTTTCATGATCTATACCGCAGTATTTTTGGCATAACGGAGGATCATGCTAAGCCATTTGAGATAATATAGGCTCTTAATAAGATAAGACAACATAATTGTAAAAGTGATTACTAAAAATATATAATGTTGATGATGATCATGATAGATTTTCAATCACGGCAGTTTCTGATCGAATGCTATGAATTGCGTACTAGATATTAAAGTGCGACTACTGGACGATGCAACACAGAGGTACAATCAATTAATTTGAAACTGTGCCAAATGTAACATTTATGCGATACGAGATTGTATATAGTATTAAATAACGTGATTGGACGTAGTTATATAAAAGGTAAAACCCACAAAAACTTATTTTTCAAGATTTTGCTTTTGAATCTTTGTTCAGAAATAAGTCAACACGAATCTTCGTGACAATAAAAACTGCCGATTGAATTACCAAAATTTACACTTTTATTACCGAACACCAATTAAAACTTAAAAGACACTAATAATTAATCACACTGATTCACTTTATTTCGCTCCGAAGTTTCGCTTGTCTCGCTAAATTCAATACTGCCCCAATCGCGGCATGCAGCGGCTTTAAATACACATTTTACACCTAAACATCCAGAATATTCCAGCGGATACGGGCGCCGAACGATCAGACGCAGAAGGTTCGAATGTGGGGCTTCTAGAAAGTTTAATTCTTCTGTTCGATACTAGATGGCGCTTTTGGTCGAAAGTCAAAATTGACATTTTCTAGGAAGCCCTCCTCGCTCTGGTCCCCAACACTAGATGGCGCAGTGCCAGGTACCTAACGTCAACTTAGGCGCGCAACAATATCATTTATTTATTATATATTACCAGTCAGCATAATTGGCGACATAAGTCGTGAGCACACTTTTTATTGGTCGATACAACGTTGACCACGCTGACGTTCAACGTGATTGATTCATCAGTCGATTCTCGTCGTCTATTGGTTTCGAACTTCGGGTTCCGTACACTTCAGAGCAATAATTTTAGTGATAACTTTTTGAATTAGTTTATTTTCGTTAATTGTTTTTGTTACCTCGTTGTTAATTGTTGTTTGTGTATTCCTTGTTATTAATTATTTTTGTTGTTATAATTTGAGTGTTCAGATTTTGGTCTAAATATGCAGAGAAGGAAGAATTCGGTGTTAAATAGACAATCCCGACAAATGGTGTATTCAGTGTTTAGTTACATGAAAAAATTAGGTACTGCGAAAAACATCATAGACGTATATAAACAGACTGCTGAGGCGACTAATGTCTCAGTAGCTACTGTACGGCGCACCGAAACACCAGATTTTATGGAAGGCATATCACCTCTTCCTTCTTCTGAATAAAATAATCAATTCTAACCACCAGGTATACATTAAATACTTTATAGTAGATAATAAAATAACGGACACGAATATCTGCAACATTACTGTATCAAAGTAAAAGTTGATGTGTTCAAGTAAACATTTTCATAAAAGTCGGCGACAATATTCAATTACGAATTGAAATAATAAAGATACCCAATAATTTTGCCCAACATTATACCTACCTCCCACCATAGTTTATCTGTGCTCACGACTCGCATCGGCAACTATACCTACATAGCTGCCGCAGAAGAAATGTGGAAATATCGTTTTAAAGGAAGAGTTAAATTGTTTCATTAGGAATGATAATACATTCATTGAAATTGAATGATAATACCGAGTCTTTGTGAAACGCTTCCGAAAACGAAGACAGACGATAGCACTAACGACACCTTTGATTATTGAAGAAAAATTTTTTTTACAATATTTAATTAGCTTTATTCAAGCTCTATCATGTTAGTACAGCTAAATGAAACGATGATTTGATTAAAAAATCGTAAAAATACTTAAACATAAAACCAGCAGCGAAATTTAAATACCTAAACTCAACTAACAAGGGTCAATATACGCGCGATGCCGAATCCGCGCGGCCCGCAGCCTGCGATCGTACCAATACCTAATAATTTAAACACTTGTCTAAATACCTAACTTATCTAGTTAACCTACTATTTGGCCACTGTGTTGGATTCCAGTCTCCACCTAGCCACTTTAATTCAAATTCACAGGTTAATTAAACCAAATACATGGTTCGATTCCCCGCTAATGAAAAAATAACTTTTATTATCCATCGTGTAGGAACGTTTATTATTCTGATATATTCAGTTATGTACCTATTCAGATCAGTCCAGTACTAAGTCATTTAAAAACAGCTTACCGATCTAAATCCTTAAATAAACTTGCTCATACGTTAACCGACCATCGGGTTTGGTGCTCGACCTGTCGAACAGCGTGCGGGCTAACCTCGGAATACACGTGTGTATTTCTTTGGTTCCACAGTCCGTTTCTGGTTAATGTCGACTCGTCTGTCCAGATGACGTACTCAACGAAACCAAGCACACGTTGTTGCTGGTTTACTAATCAACGGCAAAAAACTCGCCGGCGGTCGTGATCGTCGGGAAATAAAACTAGCACTTTGTGCACTTTATATGGGCGCATTCGGTTACGCTTTAACACCTTGTGAACTGTCCAGTACGACACACTAAACTTGTTCCATCCCGACGCCTTAACAGTTTAGCGATACTTTATAAAATAGTAAATTATGAATACATAATGCACGCGAAGCATTCTCGCGAGCTTCTCAAAGGCACATTAACATGTTGCCATATTCACGAGCACTATAAACGTACGCGTTAGGCATTATTAAAACAAAATAAGAAAACAAATAGAAACAAGTAATAACAACCAGAATTTCATATACAAAACGATCGCTCACGCTCACGCACACGTCAACACGTAACTGGCTCAAAAATTTAAATTAATGATCAATTCCGCCAAAACAAATGCCTACCGCTTAGTTCGTGTGTCCTTGAGGTTAGCACTTTGATCATTTCTACAGCTCGTTAAACCGTTATGACATTCCCAACATTAATTTTATAAGTTTAGTTATCCCTACGACTAGTCTTCATAATATGGAATTTAGAAGTTATAGTTGTCAGTTTTAATACAATTAGACAATCAATTGTACCCCTGACGCAACAAGCAGTTCGTTACTACAAAAATTATATTGAAATTAATGAGCGTACCTAATTGTGTGAGTATACCCAAGCACTATTTCATCGTTATCTTTCATTTTGTACAAGAAAATAGAAATGAAATAGTACTGAATAATTTAATAGTTAAAATCAATTGCAATTTATTTTTATATTTATTTGATAATAATTTTACAATATTTAGATTGGTACTTTAAGGTATAAACAAAAGCTATACAGCTTTACCGTATACCGATGTCATCAACAAACATAGCATGATAACTATTATATGTTGTGATGCACGCATTGAACCGCGCTCCCCGTACAGTCAAAAAACCGGTTTGCTCTCGGTGGCGTTATTTGCCTACCTGGCTTGACGCATCGAGTTAGCATCTGCAGACTGTTCATATAATTTGATACTAATTAATGATATTAAAGATAAACTTATTTTATATTATTAATAATTATTGTATATGTAACATTAGTTTGTAGAATATTAATCTGTAACTTATAATATATTATTTTAATTTTATAATACTTATTATAAGTTACTTAAGAAGTAATTCTTTAATATATTTTTGATGTTGCGTTGATTAATTTTTTTTTAGATGTGATGGAAGTTTGTTTATATCGGAATCATGTATTCTAATTTCTAATGTTCGTTTTCCATATAGATTTATGTATTTTGGTAATGCTAAGGTAGGTTTTTTTGACTGTCATGTGTTAAAATTGTATTGTATTGGAATTTGTATATTTTTATTAAAGACATTTTCAATAAGTAACCAACAATATACTTTATTATGTACAGGTAATATTTTACAGAATTCAAAGATATTATGTTGTTGGTCTTTAGATTTGTTTATAACACTTTTTGGTACTAAGGTTTTTAAAATACGGAGTTGTAAGGTGTTTTATAGGTCCTACCATAGCTAGATAGACCATACGATATTATGGATTCTGCTAATAAGATATATAAGTGTATTCTTATGTTGTATGGTAATTTATATTTTATTAATGTGAATTTGGCCAGAATTCCTCAAAGTATGTCGCATACATGGTCAATATGCCCTTTCCAGCTAAGGTGACTACCGATGATAAGCCCAAGGTAAGTATGTTGTTCCACTACATCAATCTTGACGCAGCTACATAGCAAAGCATGCTTTTAGTGTGTATATGTTATAATCGATAGTTAATTAATCTACCAGAATTAATCTGAAAAATAATTCTTTTATTTTATTTTAATTGACTTTCCTTTTTTAATACGTCCAATACTTTGAATTTAAAAAGAGGTAAGTCAAAGCTACTAAAATTACTTGCAAGTTTTATTGTGATTGCCGCCTCTAATTCTTATGTCGCCTTCAAATTTTAGAAGGTAAATTTCGGTGCAACGTGTGCAGCGTTGCCAACCAATTTGTCATATTCCCCGAAAATCCATGTCAAATTCCCCAATCAAGGCACAAAACTTCAACAAATTCCACAAAAAGTCCCCTCAATTTCATTTTACGAAAAGAAACAATTCTTTCTACATTTTTTTTACTAATTTTATAAGATTAATATTTTAACTAATTTTTTTTCTTTTTTAGGGAATATTTTTTTCACACTTTCCATATTTTTGTAACAAGCATTTTACTTCATGGAGTATTTTTAATTCCTTCCCATGTTGCCATTAAAAAGGACCACAGTATCTGCATTTAATCCGCTTTAAAATAAAAAATAAAGAAATGAAAAGCGCTAATTGATACACAAAAGTTTTCAAAATAAATCCGAAAATTAAACGTGGTGCAAGAAGATAACTAAAAAAGGGAGTCATTCAGTATTAATAAGCAACCTAACAAAAATGTTAAGATAAGTATTTAGATTTCTTGAAAAAGGTTCTGACTTGGCACGAGCCATCGATTTTCAAAATCCCCGCATAATCCCCAAAAAATCCCGAACCAACTTTATATTCCCCGCAATTTGGGGAATTTCCCACATGTTAGCAACGCTGAATATGTGTAAATAGCGAGGCGATACGTGTCGGCAGGGCAGCGGCAGCACGTGTGTAAGGGAAGATTAGAGTGAGCGTTAATACTGTACATAATGCTAATGTATTGTTTGCTACCGAGCTAGTAAGAGTTCAGCGTCTGCGCGTTTTTTGACCCTATAGGGTCTATACTATAGGGTGACTATAGTCAGCTGGTTATATTTTGTGTTTTACTGCTGGTTTTATGTTTTAGTATTTTCATGACTTTTTTTATGAATTTATCTTTTCATTTAGCTGTACTCACATGATGGATCGTGAATAAAGCTAATAAAACGTTGGAAAAAGATGATTTTTTTTTCACCGGGATCTATTTTCTTTCTGTCCCATCAAAGGTGTCGTTAGTACTATCGTCTCTCTTCGTTTTCGGGAGCGTTTCACTAACACCCGGTATAACTTCCAAATAAATTTGTCGGTATGATACGCGCGCCATCTACAGTGAGTTAATTGTACTATGCCTATAACCGTCGCGCAAGTGCAAGCAATAAGTTGACAAAGTTTTACCACAATCTGATGAACGGTATAGCTGCGCATAAAATACGAAGAAACAAAAATTAATTTTCATATATTGGATTATACTAGCTTGCCAGGCAGACGTTGTTCTGCCCATTTCGACGATCTTTTGTCATGTCCTATTAAAAATCCTAAAATTCGCAAAATAATATATTGTGGGTCATTTATGGGCAAAAAAAACTATCCTATCTCTCAAGTTGGACCAAACTGCACACGGTGTGCGAATTTGATTAAAATCGGTTAAGTAGTTTAGGAGTCCATCGCGGACAAACAACGTGACACGTAATTTATATATATTAAGATTATTATTTACAGACGACAGAACGACTCGGGGGTATAACGAGAAATCTAACGCGACTGGGGGGAGCGTTCGGGAGCTTACGATATAGCTTCTTGTCACGTATACCTCAAAACTTGAAGACAAGAGTGTACAACCAGCATGTGAGTCACTGCTGGTAAAAAAACCGACAACCGATAGAGGCGAAGAGTTATCAAGTGGTAGCCCTGTACCGGTCAGTTGTAGCGTTCCTTAGGGGGAGAGACATGTGTTCAGCAGTGAAATCGTGATAGGCTGTAATGATGATGATAATGTAGATTGGCGGGCGTAGCTGATACACGAAGTCTTGTTTATTCTCTGTTATTTTCTTTGACATGATAACATCTATTGATTAGGTGTCGAAACATAACAGCAAAAAGTAACGGAGTCGTAATCATCGTAAAAAAAATAGAATTTCGTACCTTTTTCTATATTCACTGGTCTATCTTCCCCAACGCATTCAACGTCATTGTCCAGAAGCTCAATTCCGTCGTCTACGAATTCTAAATCTATCGGTAACTCATCAAAATTAGGCACAACTTCTTTTTTTAAAAATGATGAAGCGATAATATCTTCGCTTTGTTCTTCAGACATTTTTTTACTATTATCTAAATCAGTCACGTTGTCTTTTAAAAAATCGTTTGTACTAACAACATCTGTTTTAAAAGACATTTGAGTATCTTCGCATTCATTTTCAGATACTTTATTATTTTTTTCTTCAATCGTGTTACCGCTAGGTAAATTGTTCTTGTCTATTTCCAAATCTTTTTCATCATCAGCAACCGTTTTATCGACATTTTCTTGGCTTTTTGCATAGTCAGTAGTCTCATTGATTTCTAAATGAAATTCCAGGGGAATATCAACATTACCCATTACACTCGTAATTTTTGGTAAAGTAAGTTCGGGTGGTTCTTTAAAAGCGGCATCAGTCACTGTCTCGCAACTATCTTGAACAATTTTTGCATCTTCTGATACATGATTACCAGTTTCCACTGGGATTTGAATATTTTCTAATTCATTTACAGCATATTGCTCGTCCACTTCTGTTACATCATCAGTGGGTTCAGTTTTTATTGTGACACCTAAATCTTCTTCGTACAGCAATGGGTTATCTTTTGGAATATCATTGTTCGTACTTGAGTTATCAGTCATTCCCGCTGTATCTTCGTCGTCAGAATCTGCAGCAACCTCTATTGTTTCTACCGTAGGCTCTACAACTATGAGGTCTGGATCATTTTCTGAAATATGTAAATTCATGTAAAAAATTAAGAAGTAGTGTAAATATACAAATAAGTTTGAGATTGACTTTATTCAGCAAGATCTTTTGGATAATATTAGAACAGTACTTATTCAAATACAGACGTAGCTCTTTTGTTAAACATATTCATTAAATTAAATACGTAAAAAAGCTAATTTTTTCAGTTTTAAAACATCTATATAATTTTCAAAATAATAAAATTATGAGATTAAATACAAACCACTGTTACTGATTTCAGACTCCTTTATTCTTCTTCTGCTCTCCTGAAAGTGACACTACTGTTATGTTAAATAAAAATATAAGATATTTTTAGATAAACTTAAAAACGGTGTATAATAGGATTTATTATTTCAAGTAAATTACTAATAAAAACGCAGGTCATGTTAATCTTTGTAACCAACTCGTACATAATTTAACGCTCATGAAACAAGAACAGAAAAACACAATAGTCAATAACCTAATGAACACAAGATATTCGGACAAGATTGATCTCTAAGTTCCTCTGTCACTCAGAAGTCAGTGCACTATAAAGTAATTTCTTGCGGCTTTGCTCTCGTACACTTAATTTTACCAACATCATAAGTATTCCATGTCAAAATTATCTTCTCGGAGACTTCATAGTAAAACGTTCATCACTTCGTAAGTGAATTAATATAAGATTTATTAATAACTAGACCAAAGCACCACCTATCAAGTCATATTTTGTGATTTTCTTATATATTGTGAATATGAATCATTCTGGTTCAGAATTGATTATTGACTATGGTGCCACGTATGGGATCCCCACCATAGTTATGAACCATCATCTCGATAAAACAAATATATAGCGTGAATAAGACTCCAACCAGTCATGTTGTTTAGAAGTTAGTCGATGACTAACAGACGCATCTACTAAAATATAATAGGTAAAGATAAAGATAAAGATTCCCATAGTGAGTTCAATATTATATATAAAAATATTAGAATAACATCATATTATAGCTGTTATGTTATTGTTAAATTCATATTTTAAATGTTAATTTCTCAGTATTCCGTTTAGATGCAGTGAAACTAATATTACCATTGTAATCTATAGATAATAAGGAATAAATCGACATGAATTTCATTAAGAAATTTTACAATATGGTCCATTCTCCATACAAAAAAGAAATTGTCTCCTTTCACTTTACAGCATCGTCAAGTCCTCGTGTCCATAAACCATTACAGCATACAAAAGTCACGACAGTACAGTTGCCATGCTCGGTGAGCGGGTTGGCATCCGCAGTTTTTTATTATTTTGAGTTCTTATCAGAAAGACGCTGATAATAATCTACTGTTTTAGTTTGCCTCTGTCGCCTCTTACAAAATCCATTGGACAATATGGAGTATTAGATATTCTTTACACCGTCACGGTTTAGATATCGTCTAGGTAAATATATAAGGACTATTTTTTAATGTATAACGAGTGTTATCCCCATACTTAAATGTAAAAAGGAAAGTTTATAAGTATAATACTTACAAATGCGCCAGCCTGTACTACTCGCTTCATCTGGATCAGATTCTCCCACTGCTGGAATGGCTGCGTTACCACATGTTGGAACCTGATACAATGATTATATATTATATATATATATATATATATATATATATATATATATATATATATATATTTGGTTTTTTTTTTTTTTCTTGGATATATATATATATAGTGAACACAGAAGGTCGTGGGTTCGAATAGGCCATTCGACTACTATCGTGAACCACTCCTAACACAAGCATTTTAAGCTTACCAGGAGTGTTTAAAGGAATATTAGTAGAGTTAATAGTATTGCTGGTTTAAAAAAAATTATAGATGAGTACCAATGTGGATCGTTAGAACTATAATATATTTTCTAAGCTTGAAGTAAAATGATCACTATTAGTTCAGTCATATTAGGGGTTTCACTATATATGTATGTATAAAAAATGTTTGGAACGAAAGTAGTAAAGAATTTTATCGTCTATAATTTTCATGATAAATACAAATAGCGTTTAAAACGGAAAAAGCGAAATATTTGAAAAAAAAATAGCTTTGACCTTGAATATCTTAGGACACGGATAATAAATTTTATGAGGCTTTTGGACAACATTTAGAATGTCAAAATAAACATTTACAGTTATTATATGTTTTAACAGTGTAAATGCACTACTGCTGGGTAGCAGCTAATATTTTTTTTTGGGGACCGGGTGACAAACGAGGACACAGTCCACCTGGTGGTAAGTGTTTGCTGTGGCGCATAGACATCTACACCTATCCTCGATCACGAATCAAAATGCAGATGCGTTCTCACCCGTGAGGACTGAGATGCATTATATGCATTTGGAATAAATGAACTGCCAGAGAATTTTAATAATAATGTTCATATATTTGTATGAATAAGCAAATAAAATAAAATTTTGCTTTAAGGGCCTGGTTTGTTTAAATGATCAGGTGACGCTAACATTTAGAAAAAAAGTTGCGACAACTCTTTAGATTGCTGTGTTCATTTCAATATTTGAAAAAAAAATTCATTTTCTATCTCCTTATACATTGATTATATTACAATTATTGCATGCATTTAGCGCAAATACGCGTAGGTATGTTCTACTAGCGCCTAAAAATCAAGAATCCAATCTCAAGTCCGCATCGAGGGGTAAAGACGATAAATTTTGAAAATATCAATCGTTCAACTCAATCTATTTTTTATTATCTTCCTCTATCTTCTTTTTTTTTTAGTTATAATTAATTGTTTTCGGTAATAAATTCTGAAATTTTTGGTCTCTTTATAGCATAAGGGTGACAAACCAGCACATAGTCCACTTGATGGTAGGTTGTCACCCCTGAGGACTACAATGGAATGCCTCATTTAAAGTAAAAAGGGTCTCCGGTACTCTACACTCACCATACGAAACACAGCAGCATTAAGCCACTATTTCACGCTGGTATTCTGTGAGAGCGTGTTCCTTCCCCGGACGAGCCGACCCATTCGTGCTACAACTATACTACTAATATAACTGCCGCATGGCTCTACCACGTACAAAAACCGAAACAAAAAATAAAGAACCGAATCAAAAATGGCGGCGTTAATCATGCCTTCTCACACGTCCCTTATTCTTGTTTTAACTCACACACGTACGTCCACTAAATAAAACCACCAGGAAGCATTGAAGTAATAATACGTACTACGTACTAGAACAGACACCGCGCACGTCTGTGGAGGTACAAAATACCTTTTTATGGCCCAGACTAAGTAAGTTTGGGCCCGTGTTTTTTTTTTTTAGTTAGGGCGGACAGGAGACACTATTTAGTTAAGGTGACACTATTAAAGTGAATATCCATGCCAGTTGAAAGTTGATTCAATTAATATTTTCGTCACTACACCGTGCCCCCACCTTACCCCACCCAATGGTTAAACCCGAAACAAAACCCGTTCTATAGTAACGAAGAAAAACGTAAATAGAATAAAGCAGCGTCGATTTTTGTTTCATATGAGGTATAAAGCTTGTGTCTCAGACCATTGGAATTTATTTATTGTGTGGCATTATATTAAAATAATACGTAAATAGAATGGTGGGCTTGAGTATAAAATCTTTATCGACATATTTTGTCGCACTGTACTATCTCTATTATTAGTTTCGTTGACGCAAACTTCTCATATTAGCTCGAAAATGGCGGAAAGCAAATCGCCTCATTTGTCACGGCGTATAGCCAGTCCAGCGTACTTGTTTATTAGAGGTCAGTGATATTACTTAAATGCTCCGCAATTATAAATACAAGCCGCCATTTTAGATTTGTTTCTTTATAACATTGAAAACAAAAAACGTATACCCACCGTTCCGCAATCAGCATCTGTACTTTGGTGGGCTTATTTTCGTTAGCTTTCGGTAACAGTTTAGGGTTTCCACGGTAGGTTTGCCAGAAGTTGTAAAACTTCGATCTCGTTGACTCCTTCAGCTGGTACCAACGACGCTGAAGTAGCATAGGGGAACATTGTCGACCACTGTAATGTGAAATAGTTTCAAATAAATAACAGTTATTGTTATCATTTTATTCATCTGTCTTATAAAAATGACTTTCAATAAGAATTATATTATGTAATATATTATATGGAATAAAATATTATTGTATTCTATTCTATATAATAATAAAATTAAGATATAAGAAAACTTAAAAACACGAATTAATCATAAGCTGTGACGATTCTAGAATAAACATTATGATTCTTGTTCATACCGGGTTACTGGTAACTCGACGTATTCCCGCCAAGGCGTGATAGTTGCGGTCATAACCTATCAAATGAACCATAAAATGCATTATGCAAATGTGGACCAATTTCGATATATTTAGATTTAATTATTTTTTTTTTCAAAAATCCCAAAAGTCTGGTGTCAAAAATTTCTAAAAAAAAACTTACAGCTGTATTATTTTCATTTTATTATTTTTACTTAATGAAAACCTGGATACTTATTTATCAATACTACAGTGTGCAAAAAAATCTCATCATTTTCGAAGTAACGCTACTAAAAGTACAACTTTTTCCAAACAGAAGATAAGTAATTAAAAATAAGAATGATTTTGTGAAAAATAATTGTATGTGACCAATTATTGTGCAAATCATGTTAAAAACATCCCTATTTATCTAGCTCTAGAATGAGGTCAGGTAGTCGAGTTCTAAGCAGACAAAGGAATTTGTGTTTTATTTTTAACCAATATTAATCTCCTTCCATCACATGCACTGGTGTGTAGGGGTACGTATAAAGCCCCGCAGTATGCACAGTAGACCAGACCTTCCACTGCGATACACCTAAGCGACGAGCAACTATGTTCGTGGAAGTGGTTGGATCTTCTTGAAATTTATTCAAAATTTCTTCATCTTCCGCACGCGGTATACGGGGTATGGGGTATGCCACGTAGCCTGCCAGCATCACGTTGTTGCCTTTGAACATTTCCAGTCCCTCGGTACTCTACGATGCACTGCACTAAACACTGTGACATGGAGTGGTCGGCGATTAGGGTAGCGCTGTAGGTATTCACGGCGAGCAGCTGCAGCGTCACCGTCACAATATCCATAGAGATAAGATATCAGCGTATTCCTCGTTGGAAAATGATTGCCTTGCATTATTTCTGTACTATTTAAGTTACAAGCTAAATTGATACTTCGTTGGGTAGCTAGATAAGTAGGGATGTTTTTAACATGATTTGCACAATTGGTCACATCATCATCATCATTCTCTAAACATTTTTTTGGGGGGGTATTTAAACATTGGTAACAATTATTTTTCACAAAATCATTTTTATTTTTAATTACTTATCTTCTGTTTGGAAAAAGTTGTACTTTTAGTAGCGTTACTTCGAAAATGATGAGACTTTTTGCACACTGTAGTATTGATAAATAAGTATCCAGGTTTTCATTAAGTAAAAATAATAAAATGAAAATAATACAGCTGTAAGTTTTTTTTTTTAGAAATTTTTGACACCAGACTTTTGGGACTTTTGAAAAAAATAATTAAATCTAAATATATCGAAATCGGTCCACATTTGCATAATGCATTTTATGGTTCATTTGATAGGTTATGACCCCCAACTACCACGCCTTGGCGGGAATACGTCGAGTTACCAGTAACCCTGTAGAATAAGGGTGACAAACGAGTACACAGTCCACCTGACGGTAAGTGGATGCTGTGGTCCATATATATCTACATTTAACCTCAATTAAGAATCAAAATGCAGATGCGCTGTCACCCATGAGGACTTAGATTGAATACCTTGATTCCAGTAAAAAGGGTCTCCGGTTCTCTGCAATCACCATACGAAACACAGCAGCATTAAAGTACTATTTTATGCTGGTATTTCGTGAGAGCGTGGTCTGGTCCTTCCCCGGTCGAGCCGACCCATTCATGCTACAAACACAATATAGCTGCAGCGTGGCTCTACCACGTATAGATCCTGACCAAGATACTTGCATAAAGTTATTAAATTATTGTTTTGTCACTGGTCCTTGATATGAGTGTGAATTTTCAAAAAAATCAGCCGTTTACAAGTTGATGAAATTTCTATTAAAAGATTCCATTACATAGATAGATTTAAAAGCGTGTTAAAAAACTTAACGTAAAATAGCAGGAAGTAGGTTCCTTTGATCTATCACTTATCTAATTCAAATAGTCCAGTTTTTTTTTTTCAAATGTTGACACCACAATATCATGGAGTATAGAGGTAAGGAGGACAATCTCCCATAGGAGAATAGTTGAAAATGTGTCCATCTGTAATCAGTAAATAACAGTTCAAAAACTCTCGACAACAGCGCTCGAGTAACTAAATCGCCGTAAAATACGTTGAGTGATTTTGAAAATAAAAATTTTGAAAGCAGTAAAATAATTGTAAAAAGAATTATGGTTAAACTATGTTTAAAAAAAAATTATAAAAAGTTCTTTAAAATTTAGACTGTAGCTATAGTGGCGCCACCCTTATTTAACGTTTTCCTACGGACACTTTTTTATACAGTCTGTACTCTTTACCCTTACACTCCATACACAATATAACTAGAGACATCGTTTTAATTTAAGGTAACTAGTTATTGATTTCAGCGGTAAGTTGTCAAGACATAAAAACTAAAAATTAGTTTATGAATCAATTTAGTTTAGTAAAAATTAAACGTACGTACCCGGTGTTGTATTCAATTGTTAAATTGAACCACGCGTCCACTAGAAACTTTGGTGCTAGGGTCTCGATACCGTATTTTTCTACCAAATTCAATAATATTATGAATATTTCCGGTTCCGGTTTTCCACCTAATGTCATGTCCTGTAAAATGACGGTAAAAATAAATTAGATAAAATATAACCAAGTAGACAAAGCAACGGCAGCAATTGTAAAAATTAAAATATCCCGCGAAAAATATGGAACCTTCTAAAACACCTTTCCGTTATAAGTAAATCTAAGAGGTAATTAAGTCACCGTTAGCACACACAAAACAACACATACGAAGTAATTAATTACTTAGCATGGTATTTACACAGTCTACGAGTAATTACTACTAACAGTCGGTCATTGAAGGCGTTTGGACGGGGCAATCGTGCGGTGCGGTGCGGTGCGAGGCGAGACGCGGGTGGAGCGCTCCCGAGCGGCCGTTAGTCGCTCGGGAGCTATCCGCTAGGGTTGCTCTGTCACGCAACTAAATAATGTGGGTCAAAAAAAATGTGGGTCATCCTCATTTAAAGTTAAGTAATTAAAGTTTTATCAGTTTTCACATACAGAAGAATTTGTTTAAATGTGAAATAATATAAAATCAGTTTTCAATTTTTTTATTACTTCCTGTTCTGACAACTCTAGCGATTTATTGTTTATGTCGGCTTTTATGATAACATCAAACGCGATGACCGACTGTATGTTCTTCTTAAGCTGTGGTATTGGGATCTATGTTAGAATAGGTAAACATGAATGGATAGATGGGAAAATGCTGCATGCAGCTATTATCAAAGTTATATGTACTAAGTACGAGACTTGGTGGCTCAAAGTTACTTAGTCTATGCCATTAAAAGGTAATGCCGCACAGATTTTGTTCGCGGTGTCTGTTCCAGGATGTAATATTTCAAAGGCGGCGGTCGAGTTATGCAGGATGTGAAGACCGGTAGTAGGAGCACTAAGCTACTCCTACCTACCGTGTAGCGGCGGCGTTAGAGATTCCGGTACCACTGGAAGTTGCGCTAGGCAATGGAAACTTAAGCAGAACATGGGCAGCAGCATCATTGTCATAACAGCTCAAAAAATTAAAAAACTACGATTGCGAACTCGTCTGCTAAGCGTGTAGACTATAGCAAATATTGAATTGAAATGTATGGGAGAGGCTCTATGTTTACCATATGTTCATCTGTAATTAATTTAAAAAAAAAAGCTAACGCAATACATAAACTAAAGTCCACTCTGAACATAGGCCTCCCTCATAGATTGCCTATGTTCAGAGTGAACTTTATGTATTGGATTAGCTTTTTTTTTTAAATTAATTACATTTTTTTAAATTAAGTACATAGAGATATATGCCATAGTTGCCACGCTTGGTAAGCGGATTCGCAACCGCAGCTTTTTTATTTTTAGTCGTTATTAGGAAGATGCTGATGCCCATCTCCTGATTAGTTTCCCTCTGTCGCCTCTTACGGCACCTACGGCATGTAGGGTAGTTGATACGTACTTGTTTACTTTATTTACGTCGACATGTCATTTTACACGGTCGTCAATATATTTTGCAATTTTACAATTTTCAAATTTGACCAATAAGAACATGAGCTAACATTAATTACCTCTCCAATGACGTCGACCTTCTCATGTACGAGCACCAGATCGAACGTAAGCCAGTCGGTAAGGGTCATACGAGCTATCCTCGTAATGTATCCGATGCGATCCTCGGCAGCCAGCAGTCGTTTAAGCTTCTTCAAAGTCAATGCCCTCATATGTTCCCTTCAAAAATCAGAAACAATGTATTTTATTATCTTTTCGTAAAACAGTGGAACATAGTATGTTCCACTGTTACTGTATATCGCCGTGTAAGGGTGGCGTCAGAAAATTCACTACCGCATATCATCGGGTAGCTTCAGCAGATAGGATCACATTTCTGACAGCAACTCAATGTAATAAAAAACTACGGTTGCCAAAACGCCTAACGTAGTAAATTTTGACAAAAATCATTAGAGTGATATATGCGTGATGCCTATGTTTAGCAGTAGACTTGAATGTAGGCTGTAATGATGATACATCACTGTTGGGCACCGGTTCCTTAAAGAGTTTTGGAACAATTAAGTTCGCTGCGCTGCCCCAATGCTAGGTCGATCAAAGATGTTTTCCTTCGCAGCCAAATGAGTGGTAAATGAGTATTTAAAATTGCAATTACAAGTTTAGGGTACCAATCGAATTCGCGCCGGATTTAATGAGTTGCTAATGTACTAGGATTAGAATATTAAAAACAAGCGCCCACCCCGTCTCATTTTTCAATCCTAAGTATCTTTTGTTTTATATGTCCTGTATCTTCTTTTTCTCAATAACTGGCGGAGTCATACTATACTCTGGAATGACTGCCTCGTTACTCCAGTGAAAGTAATGATGGATGGATACGAATCTGGTATTGAGTTCTTCTGTCAAGAAATTCTCATATGCGACCCAGTAGATTGGCGGTGTTTCACCACTATCGCAAAGCCCGTAAAGCTGTTAGCCCTGCGCCTGATCTCTCTCCGGTCTTGTTGAATTACCATCTCATCGGCCTAGGAGATTTAGGCGATAGAGAGAGAGAGCATGTGTGTTTGCGCACGTCACTTACTCGAGCATTATGACCTCTTTTTGTGCAGATGGTTAATCTATGTTGACTGGCCGCCGTGACATAAATATGGAGGATATTAATATACATACTTTGGAAGGTCTGCCTACATTCGCTACGATGAGCTACCGAAACAACATGTGTTGGTGATCACCACAGAAATCTAAATATAAATAGAAGTAAAAGCGCGTGACCTTGTCGTCGCACATGTGACTCGTAGGCCACAAGCGCGCGAGGCAGTGTTGCCATATATACAGATTTCCCCGTATTTATACAGATTTTCGGTGTGTGATACAGATTAGCACTGGATACAGATTTTTATACAGAGTTTTCCGTATACAGAGAAACCTATAGACAAATTGACGCCTTCTTTCGCATTCGCACACGAAAAAGATAGATTTATGCATACGTCTTGCATAGAAATGAGATAGAGCGGTGTGATTGTTTGTTTTGTTTAGCAAACTACATTTTACTAAACAACTTTGACAGTTCGCAGTGAACTAAGGAGTTTATAAGTTGGTTTAAGTGAAAAAAAGTGTTTTGTGAACTTAAAATTGGTGAATCTTGTTCAGTTCAGTTCTTAGAACAATTAAAAAATTTATCTAAATATGTTTAAAAGTCATAAAGATTATTGTATAACCTAAAACTACGTTATCGTCCTTTCTCACTCGAGGCCACGCTAATCATTAGTCTATAGGTTTCTCTGTCTACGGAGTTTTCTAACTCTATTGATTGGGTTACCATAATATTCAACTTAAAAAGAAGAAGCAAAATAAGTGACTACCTACTTAGTACGGCAGACATACAAGCGTATTATATAAGTATATAAAATATGTGTGACTGAAAATAATAAAATAATGTTCGTTTGTTACAAATGTTTGAATTTTAATACGTTGTTTGTCTAAATTAATGTGTTCAATTTTGCTATATAATTTTTTTTGTGAATAGTATATATTTTATACTTGGTAGAGCCACGCTGCAGCTATATTATGGTTGCAGCACGAATGAGTCAGCTCAACCGGGGAAGGACCACGCTCTCACAGAATAGCAGCGTAAATTACCAGCTTAATACTGCTGTGCTTCGTATGGTGAGTGTAGAAATCCGGAGACCCTTTTTTACTGGAAATGAGGCATTCCATCTTAGTCCTCAGGCGCGACAACGCATCTGCGTTTTGATTCTTAAGCGAGGATAAATGTAGATGTCTATGGGCCACAGCATCCACTTACGATCAGCGTACTGTGTGCTCGTTTGTCGCCCTTATTCTATAAAAATATTTTTATTTAATAACGGTAATCGAACTTTATCAGCTTATTACGTTAGTAGTTATTCCTTGTTTTTCAAAAGAAGCAATGATGATGATCAATAATTCTAGTTTGGTTTATTATATTATACAGATTTTAAGTTTAAATAGCATACAGATTTAATACAGATTTTAGCAGCTTCTAATACAAATAAAAGGTTCAAGGCATCTGGCAACACTGGCGCGAGGAGCGTTTGTTTCGGTCACCAGTACTGTTTCGGACGCAGAGACGTATAAATGGTGTTTTGAAGCATATCCAACTGCGGAAATTCCTCCACAACTTGCAAATTTTCAAATAAAGTGACAACATTTTATAAATAAGTACTTAGTGTTTTAAATAATGTTGTGTTTAATGAAATATACCTACTTAAATAAAATTATCCACCTCCAGTACTACGATTGTCTCCGAAATTTTAATTGTTTTCGCACTTCAATATCCATTGATTCCTAAGCTAGTTCATGTCTACGAGTACGACAGCTAAAATCAGCGATGGATTTATAGTATGGGCAATAAACAAAATTGTTGCGTACGTAAATTTCCTAGAACATGGCCGCAGGAGTCGAATGTGAGCCAGTTACGTGACACAACTATGTTGTATCGATAATTTATTATGTTTGGCTTACCTAGTTTTAACGAAACGGGAATTAAATGTGATTTTTCGTTAAATATTTATTTACACCATTCTACTTTTTTTCTTTCTAAATATTTTATAGCGTTAACCGTTTATCGGCGATTATCTGTTTGTACTTTTAATTTACTTGATAAATTTTTAATCTATATAATAAAAATATTGTAAGGATAAGTAATTATATTGTAAGTATAGTAGTCTTAATTCGATCTGTAAGAAGCCGGGAAACTGAAAAGTAGCAAACAACAGAAAGTTAGTTACAGATCTTTAAAATTAATAAAAAATGATAAATATGTCACCCATACATATATTTATTCCTTTGCTGTTTGTATAATGTTGTATTAATTTTATTTATACATCTGTTTATTTAATACAATGCTTTTATTACAAGTTTCCAAAAGATTCGGTTATTAAAGATAAATTGATATATTTATTCTTAACGTATTATTATTTCCCCCTTTTTTTCTAATTATAAAACGTCTAAAAGCTAAAACTAAGACTAAAAGCATCTATTACTGAGACAATGGGTGCGTTTGGCAGAAAAAAGCGCTAGCAAGCGCTTATAAGCGCTAAAATAGTTTTCGGCCAGGACACGATTGCTACTTCAGTAGCGCTGACACAATCCGCCATTTTGCTTATTTAATTTGTTTGTTTTGAGGTAGAGTTTATAAGTTGTTTTGTGCAATATTAGTTTTAAGTAATATAATGACATGAATAAACATATACATGCTATTAAAAACTCATGATTGGTAAGTTTTTAATATGAATACTTTACAAACATATATTTAAATTAGGTTAGATTCCCCCGGTTAAAACTAACATCGTGTCCTGGAAGAAAATAGCTACTTACGATTTGACAGCGCTTACCGCTTACGATCGCCATTTTGCTTACAAGCGCTTGCTAGCGCTTTTTTCTGCCAAACGCACCCAATATCAGTTAATTAGTTATATCTTGGTGTGAGACTCCTGGAAGATCAACGACGTAGAAAGAAAGTTATCGAAACGTACGTTGCAATGCACTATGCCCGAGTGAGAGCGAGCGCGCAATGTCATTCTCTGTTTTTCTCACACTTTAATTATTGAGCCGAGTGGCTACGCCTCCTGAGATTTTGCGTTTTTATAAAACATTCCTTAACGCAATAGTTTATAGATTAATCTTTGTTGCATGAATGCTAGAGGTATTTGTAGGCGTAATTGTGTATTTATTGTTTGTCTATGTGTGACAGCTACACGCGTCCCGATAATAAAAGACAGTAGAAGGCATTTCTATTGTCTTATTATTGAGATTTCTGTGGTGATCACAACTCTATAAGTTCCACTACTTAGGTTCGGTGTATGTCAAAAACTTTCTTGCGTATCACAGTGCCACATACCATAATAAATGACAATCGCAGCCATACTCATTTTTCAGCTGAAGCCACATCTCCTCTTCACACTGCTTCTCTTGATATATACGACGCGCGATGTCGCGCACCAGGCGCCTCTTGAATTTGTCTAACGCTGACATGTTGCTCGCCTCATTTGTCCTACACGTACGTAAAAAAAAATCACTTTTACTAACGAAGTATGTATTGACGGAGTAAAAATTATTTATTTTACATTCATTCATCAGTCCGTAAAAAGAACCTTCAATTCTATTTCTGCCGCCTAATAGCAGTAAATGCACTACTGTGTATCGGTCTGAAGGGTAGATACAGGGAGCCAGTATTACAGGCTTAGTAGACATTCCATCTTAGTCGCGAGGCGAAAACACCATGAGGAAACCTGCATGTTTGAAAGATAAGAAAAATATATTTCAAAGACGTGTGAAATCGACCAACTCGGATTAAACTCTCTCAGAAGCAAAAAGAGCCCGTGCCCACTAGTAGGACGTATATAGGCTATAACTTTATACTTGTCTGTAAGGTTTTGTGAATATAGGGTCCTCGTTTTTAGTCCAAATGAAGTGTTTAACCTGATTACTAAAATAACTGTTCACAATTAAATATATCCTTGTATTCCTCACATAGTTTACGAATGCTATGTCTTTCCTCTTCATTCATATGGTTTAGTCGTAACTTGTTTAAATTTTCAAGCAATAAATAACTGGTCCGTTTCTAGAAAGAGTGATCTATAAAATTTACATACGATTTAGAGATGACAATGCATATACAGCTTACTTTCTTTAACGTTTGCTGCAGGTGTTCAAAGTTCATGGACTACACCATAACCACTTACCACCACCTGGACTGTAAGTTCGCTCGTTACTTAAGTTGTAAAACGAAAAGCGTCAGATTATTTATAACATTTTTCTATACCATGAGTCTAATGCCATCATAGAAAACAATGTCTTATTCCGTGTTATGTGAATGCCATATTTAAACACGGAGTAAGGAACCAAATGACGCGGTTAATTAATCTATTTTTCTGTATGAAGAGCTAGAAAAAAATTAGACTGGCCGAATAAAATTACGAATACGTAGCTTTTTAATATTTGTATTGTCAGCGATCTCCTGGCCGGGCTGAAGTTAGTCGCGAGTGGCTGTGCAGAAGTTTTAGGAAAAAAATGGTGACAATAGAAGTAGGAGGGGGAGCGGTAATTAAAACCGGAGATGCAAATACGCATAATTGCATGGTTAAAATTACGAATAAAATTACGTAAATAATCGATTATGATTTGATTTGATTTTTTTATGATTCATTGGTGTGTAAATGTAACATGTCGTTTTAAATACAGTGCATATGATGACATGCATTAAATATTTTATTGAAAAGCTTACAAGTCATATAACTGTTTATCGCAATTCTTTATAAGATACTATTGTTTTAATGAAATACATAAAAATATTTTCACTAAAATAATAATTTTCAGGAGCCGTGGTAGCTCAGATGGATAGCGCTCGCTGTAAATTACACAGTACGCGAGCAACCCGGGTTCGACCCCGCGGACACCAATGAAATTGTTAATTGAAATTTTAAGTGCTGATTTACCACGTACTCGGCGGTGAACGAATACATCGTGAGGAAACTTGCCTGTCCGAGGAATAAGAAAAAAATACTAAGAAGACATGTGAAGTTCGCCAACACGCATTGGGGCAGCGCGGCGGACACTTCCTTGCCCTAATACCCTCTCAGAAATGAGGGGAGGCCTGTGCCCAGCAGTGGGACGTATATAGGCTTTAACTTTAACTTGATTAACAATTTTTTAGTAGTGTAGGAGCGAACATGAAGTGACACATCTCTGTCGACCAGCGTAGGTACTGTACATGCGCGAATGTCTCGCAAAGCCAAATTCAGCCCAGCCAAAAAAAGCGCGAACCGTAATGAGACCATTTACAATGAATTTAATACATCTGTAATATGGCCGTGTAGTGGCGATTAAGAATATCCACTACCCCGTATCTTCCCGTGGGTGTAGTAAAAGGCGATAGAGGGTACAGGCAGGAGATGGAAAGCAGCATCTTCCTAATAACAGCAACTGTGCAACAAAAAAACTGCATATGGCACTACTCCGGAGGCGTGCAGCAGAAGTGCGGTGGTCTTGTTCCTCAAGGAAGGCGACAAGGCTCTCTTGAAGAACTACAGGCCGATTTCCCTTCTAAGCCGCGTCTACGTGCTATTTTTGAGAGTCATTACGAATCGTCTCGCACGCAGACTGGACGACTTGCAGCCTCCTGAATAAGCCAGTTTCCGAAAACGCTTCAGTACCTTAGACCACATACATAGCCTGCAACAGGTTGTACAGAAGACCGAAGAGTACAATGTCATCTGCCACTTTGCTGGCGTATGTGGACTATAAGAAAACCCATGATTCCGTCGTAACTTGGACGGTACTACAGTTCCTTCAGCGATGCCAAGTTGATTGTCGGTATATCGAAATGGTGAAGTGTTTGTACAGTTGGGCTACGATGGCTATCCGAGTACAGAAGCAAAGTACGAAACCTATCCAACTGCAGATACTGTAGGTGTAAGACAGGGTGACGGTTATATCCCCGAAACTCTTCACCGCTGCATTGGAAGACGTTTTCAAGCTACTGGACTGGAAACGATAGGGTATTAAAATCAATGGCGAGTACATCACTTCTACAGTCCTTATGGCAGAATCGCTGGAGGACCTAAGCACTATGCTCAATGACCTCAATAGTGTCTCCTAACGGATAGGTCTTAAGATGAACATGGACATAACAAAGATCACGTTAAATGTCTATGTCGCACCTATGCCAGTAGTTGTTGAGAACATTAAGCTCGAATAAGCGAATAAGCTCTAATAACATGTTTTCAAAGGCAAATTAAACTCATTTTAGTTTTGTTACTTACATAGGAACATTTTCAGGAGGACCTATGTTCAAAATGATATTACTTTTTGACGTTTCTGCCTCGGATACATTTTCTAATCTGAAAAAAAAATTCGATTATAATTTTCAAACGTATAAATAAGTATATGTAGTAATATTGGTTCTCGAACTTATCCAAAAATATACCTACCTCGGGCAGATATTGCAACTAGGTAAGAATAACTTCGAGAAAGAAGCCGATAGGATGATTCAGTTGGGTTGGGCAGCATTTAGAAAGCTCCGTCGGGTTTTCACGTCACCCATACCGCAAAGTGTGAAGACAAAAGTCTTCAACCAGTGCGTTCTGCCCGTACTCACTTATGGTGCCGAAACGTGGACACTGACGATATGTCTGCTCCAAAAGCTTAAAGTCGCTCAGCGAGCAATGGAAAGAGCTATGCTCGGAGTTTCTCTGGTAGACAAAATTCGAAATGAAGAAATCCGCCGGAGGTTACTGACATAGCTTTCCGTTTTTGTAAGCTGAAGTGGCAATGGGCTGGTCATGTCTGTCGCAGAGGTGACAACCGGTGGAGTAGACATGTTATGGAGTGGAGACCGCGTCTAGGCAAACGTAGTGTGGGACGCCCCCCTGACCAGATGGAGCGACGATCTGCGCAAGGTGGCTGGTAGAAACTGGATGCGTGTAGCCGAAGATCGGGCTAAGCGGCGCGCCTTGGGAGAGGCCTATGTCCAGCAATGGACTGCCGCAGGCTGATGATGATGATGAATATTGGTTAAATTTTATTATACTATATACTATTATACTATAAATAAAATTGACTAAGGCTATTTTGTTACGTACCTAGGAACATTTTCAAAGGGACCTATGTTCAAGGGGATATTACTTTTTGACGTTTCTGCCACTGACACATTTTCTAATCTGAAAAAAAAATCGATTATAATTATCAAAAGTATAAATAAAGTATGTAGTAGTATATATTATTATTGGTAAAATTTTATTACTATAAATAAAATTGACTGAGGCTATCACGTTATTTATCTTAAATATATATAAATTACGTGTCACGTTGTTTGTCCGCGATGGACTCCTAACCGATTTTAATTAAATTTGGACACCGTTACAGTTTGGTCTAACTTCAGAGATAGGATAGTATTTTTGCCCATGAGTGACCCACATTTTTTTTGCAGATTTAAGGATTTTAATAGGACATGACAAAGGTTCGTCGAAAAGGGCTGAACAACGTCTGCCTGGCAAGCTAGTTATAGGTATATATTATAGGTTATTTTATTTTTCGGTATTTTAAGTGTGTTTAAACGACTTCTAAAAAGGAGGAGGATTGCAATTCGACTGTCTTTTCTTTGTTACAATCTTCAATGGTAAACCTAATTGATTAAAAAAAATACGATTTTTTTTAATCAAATAGGTTATAGATTACTTCAGGGGTTTTTCTTATAAATTCGCAGAAAAAATCAACCCGCAAAAGTGAATAATACGAGATGAAGTTTTTAATGGAACTATTTGACGACATTCTTGCGTACCCTCCAATTGCAAAAAAATAACTTGTAATAATATGTTTAAACCGACTTCAAACAATTAGACTATACAATAATTTCTCATTCTGAATGTGGGACTTTAATTCTACTATAGATACAATTTGTCTTAATAAATAATAAATATCAATAGATTTAGGTAAGGTAAGTAATTAAGTAATGGGATACCTATGTATTTTACAGAAGTATAAGTTAAATAACCATTTAACTAATAAATAAATAAATACCTTCCTACTAAATTACACTTTCCTTACGAATTACAGTAACATAAATACTTTGATACTAACTAGACCTTCTACGAACGACAGAACTCGAAAATCTATCCTCATCATCTCGATGACTGGAGGTCCAATATACTTAGCTTGATCGCCGTAAAGTTGACCATATCAATGGTCCGCGGGACGCAGGAAGCGGGCGCGCACGGGCTGCCACGGCGAGATTTCTCAAGATCAATAAAATATTCCCATTGTTATTTATGAAATAATATGATATATGATTACAGATGTGTTAGTGTTAGGTAGTAATTTGTTACTAATAAATCATACACTTTGACACTGTAACACCTAAATTTATTTTTATTTAATATAACTAAAGATATAAAGGAGATTAAAATTTCCAATCATATTTCTTCATCTGAATCGTTTTTAGAGTCTCAAAAAGACTCGGATGACGTTTCTTCTGACATCTGAATTATGAAAGGTCGGTACATGTCATCGTGATTTTGATCGGTTAATATTAAATAAAAATAAATATAGGTACTACAGTGTCGAAGTCTATGATTCGTTAGTAACAAATTATCACCTAACACTAGCGCATCTGTAATCATATTATTTCGTAACAACACAAAGATTTTATTGATCTCAAGATATCGCCGCGGCGGCAATCCCGTGTACCCGTGTACGCACCCTATTCCTGCGCCATAAGTACGGGTCGACTTTATGGCGGTCAAGCTGTGCAATTTACTGTCGCCAGCGATTTTTTACGACTTAGAGAACTTTAAGAAAAGGTCCGAAGAGTCTTTTAGAAACTATTTTCTTAAAGACTCTTCGGACCTTTACGGAGGCTATCCTACTCCTTATTAAGAGGATAGAGTAAGTCAGCTCAAATTCTAATTTCGCCCCCACTTCCCCCGCGCGTCGTATGCTATGTACCGATATGTTTGTAATCACTAATACTGTAAGTAGAAAGGTCGTTAGACACCTATTTCATTAGGTTTATCATATTTATGCCTGTTTCTTAACGCCAAGCCAGCCGCTTCTTATTTTTATCACGGTTATTTCCCATTTTAATTTTACGTCGTACTGTTGCGTAATGTATATTCTGATCGTAAGCGACACAACTTCTCCCTTCAAAAGCCTAAGCGATACTAACGGTGCGACAGGAATCAAGCTTACGCGCCGATAGTTTAGGTAATTTCTTTTTACAGTGAAAATAATGGTATTTTAAAAAAAGTAAATAACATAAGCACTGCTTTATAGTTAGTTCAGTTAGTATGCAAAGTTTCATGATCTTATTTAAAGTATTTTATGAATAACAGCGGTTTATTGTTTATTTTGGAGGTAACTTTGGATTTTTTTTCTATCGAGAAAATTTTACGAAATCGTGTTTTCGTCTAACATAATCATTAACATTAATCCTCAACTTTACCATATATTTATTTCAAAATTAATGCTGCAATATTTTCGGCATAACGAAGGATCTTGCTAAGCCATTTGACATTATATTTCCCCTTAAAAGGCTGGCAATGCACGGCGACGGTGATCACTTTATGTCGCCTCTACACGTTGGCCAACACAGTGGCGAATGTAGTGGCGAATATATTGGCCGAGAGTTGGTGACGGCGTCCACACGTTGGAACGTCGTTCTGTTTAATTCGGTTCGGGCCAATGTGCAGACGAATTTATTTTATTTTAGACGACGGCTCCGTGGCGCAGTGGCTTAGGAAGCTGCGCCGGGGGCCGCGGGTTGGAATCCCGCACGGAACAAGTATTTGTATGTCCTACAAATAATTGTTTCGGGTCTGGATGTGTGTCCTTGTGCAATTTATGTTTGTAAGTTGTCTCCGCGATACAGGAGAAAGCCAAGTGTGGGATAACCTTTTTATAAAAAAATTATAAAAGAATAGTGAATATTAATGGGGCTGTAAATAGATATACGATATACGATTAGTTTTATTTATGCTTTACATACATCAGAAACTGGAATAAATACCATTAATTAGAACTTATTTTAAAGTTAAAGGAGTTATAATCGATTAGTCTATGCTTTAAAATTGTTTTGTTTTTAAAGTTTATCAAAACATGTATTTGCTTTTCTATCAGACATTTGATGTATATGAAAACACCTTATAATTTATTTGGTAATTTAATTATTTTTGAGAAAGACAAAAAAATAGCAATAAATATAATTAACACTGACTTAATAATAGGTACTAATTATAACTTAGAACATAAATGAAAAACTCATGTCAAGGAAAGTGGCTCAGGACCATGCTTTGCGGCATTCTTTGGAGGAGGATGTCCAGTAGTGGACTTGTGAAGAGCTGTAATGATGATGATGATTCGAAAACTTGCACGATTAAATTATAAGAAATCGACGCTTTTTTATATAGGATAGGGTGACAAACGAGCACACAGTTCACCTGATGGTAAGTGGTTGCTGTGGCCCACAGACATCTACATCCTATCCTCGATTACGAATCAAAATGCAGATGCGTTGTCACCTGTGAGGACTAAGATGAAATGCCTCTTTTCCTTTAAAAATGTCTCTGGTTCTCTACACTCACTATACGAAACACAGCATCATTAAGCTACTATTTTACATTGATATTTTGTGAGAGCGTGGTCCTTCCCCGGTCGAACCGACCCATTCGTGCTACAACTATACTTCTAATATAACTGCATGGTTCTACCACGTATAAACGACGTGCTTCATTTTTTTTTTCATTTTAAAATTGTTCTCGTAATAATCTGATTGTAAATAAATGTTCATTATTTTTTTTTATAAATACCTTACCGATTAAAACAAATGTTTAAAAATAATTAAATCGCGCTAATTAAAGTACTTAGTTGGAATGTTTAAGGTTGAAATTGGCACCAAAAGGCTGGTAATTGGGTCATCCACCTTACAAAGCGTGAATATAAAATTTTAATCAGATGCGTGTAATCACTCTGGGAGCTTGTAGCAAACTAAACTCGCGGCTAACGTGTGGACGCGGCGACCAAACTCTGCCAACAATCCTTTGATCTTTTGTAAAAAACCGACACCACACGGACCTCGCGCCTACTTGCGGGCCATCGTTCCAATACATACCAATGAAGCCCAAACACCCCGTCTACACGTTGGCCAATGCTACTGGCCACTACATTCGCCACTGTGTTGGCCAACGTGTAGAGGCGCCGTTAGATGAGCCGCAGGCTTTGGTGGTGGCTTTGCTGTGGTAGGCTGGTTGGCCATAGAATATTTTTTATGGAAGTAATCTAAAATATAAATAGTAATATAACCTTATAAGTATTAATTTATTACAAACTTACTTGGGGCAAATAACCTCTGATGCTTCACCTTCTTCTGAACTGTTCGCCAATTTTATTCTTTTTCTGTAAAGAAAATTATGATTAATAGAAAAAAAGAAAAAGTTCAACAAATAAATCGCATCTTTAGAAAACTCTTATGGCTCCGCTTCACATTCCTGTACATTCGGCAATTATCGGCACAAACGATTTTGCATAGAGGCATATTTGTGTACTAGTTTGGCCATAAATACAAACTTTTCTTTTTTTCAAATTTTTAATTATTTTGAATTTGGAACGCGTTCATTATTTTTAAAAGTTCTCTCGATTTCGCGCCCTTTCACAGATTTTTTCGTGTTCATTATCAAATTACAATATGGAATGGGGTGTTAAATAAAATAAGATTGCTGTGATCGCCTTGCACAAAGTGGGTATGGAGCCGTCGGTCATATTCCAGACACCTCAAAAGCTTTGTATCAGCAGTATGTTCGTATATCGTACTATTAACAGATACAACAACACTTCCCCTCTATCGAAGACCATAAAACATCGGGGCAGTCGCGTGCTGTTAGAACTACAAAGGCTATTAATACTGATAAAGCCAGAATTGGTAGAAAACCCATTAGGAAGCAAAAAATCTTATCGCGAGAAATGAAGATTCCCGCTAGGACTCTGTCGCGTATTATTTTCTTTTTTTTTCTCTTTATTAGGAATAGCAAAAAACTACATAGTATAATGTAACACAAAATAATGTTAGATAATGTAAAGATAAGATTAAATATGTAGTCAAATACACTATCCACATATTAACAAATGTGAACATAAATATAAATTATCGGACGCGATCAGATGATATTGAGTAAGTATTTAGGTACAGTCACCAGCAATAAGATGTAAACACCTAGGTTTAACTTTATTAAAGTAATATTAAAGTTTGTACTTAATTATAGGCGTACACGTGCCAGTGCCAGCGACTGCACGTAATACCAAAGTTAATCATAACCAGAACATAATAACAATTAACATTTTATAAAGGTGGCCTAGGAGAGATTGCTGTTAAAAACTATGCAACAGTACATTTCATTCCATACATTATATATGGTATAAGTGGTGTGTATAAAATATTATAAAACAAGACCTGAGGCTCGGTGCTTATCGTCGATATACAGAACATGCCTTAAAATTAAGGTGCAAGCGCCGGCCGTCCGTCCATACATTTTTTAATCAAATTATATACTAAACACAGACACTCTTTCTTTAAAACTAATCATTTTATCACTTCTCTACAATGAAATGTGTACGCCTTTTACCTTTATAGGCAATAACTTACATTATATACTGAGAAAAACAATAGTGAAATCCCGGAAAAATTTGACACTTCTTTAGTAGTGTGCATGACTTTTGACAGGCAAACGAAAGGCGACATTTAAACATTGGCACGCTCGATGGCAAGCAAGTGATCTTAAATAATTCTGATAAATCAATATTTTAAGTTCAATAATTGGTTAATTTCACTAGTTTACACGGTTTTCATACCCCAGCTGAAAGTTGTATTTTGTTATTCATATATGTAGAATTATTCAAAAAAAATAATAAAAAAATTCTGTCACGTCTAGTTTAAGAAATATTTATCAACTTAATTAAAAATAATTTTGGTATTAATACCTACTAAAAAAAATTAAAAATTACTAATTTTTTCCTACTTTTTATAACTATTTGAATTAGTTTCTCTTATAATGGACCAGCAGTAATCCCCCAATACGTTTTATCCCAAAATCCTTGATGTTCTTCTAAAACCTTTAAATCTTTGTGAAAACATTCCCCTTGTTCATCACTCGTACTTCCTAAGTTTTCAGGGGAAAATTTGGATGCGAGTTCAGAAAATGATTCTTTAATGACATGTTTACCCCACCCACCTTTTGAAAATTTTCCAATAAATCGGTAACAATTTCTTTGTAATTTCGACTTTTTTTATTTCCCAAAAAAATTCCTACAACCATTTTTAATGGCTTCCAAGCAGATTTTTCATTAACGGATAAAAGGCTTTCAAACCGAGAATCTTTCATGATTTTACAGATTTATGAGGCAACAAATATACCCTCTTTCAGCTTTCCCTCTGTAATGTTTGGAAAGATTTTTCGGAAATACCGAAAAGCATCACTGTTTTTGTCAAGCGCCTTCACAAAATTTTTCATAAGCCCCAATTTGGTGTAAAGGGGGGTGGTGATGTTATTGGGATCTACCAACAACGTATTTAACTTTCATTTTTCCCGGAATATACTCATTCCCAATAGGCCATTCTTTTCTAACATGATGATGTTGTTTCGCTCCACTATCCCACAAACAAAGGAAATAACAGTATTTTGTGTACCACCCTGCAATCCAAATAAAACACCATAGCATTGGTGAACCAAATAGAAGGTGAACAACGTTTTCTCCTGATGACCACGGGAATAAAACGATTCTACAGCTTTCGCAAAACACATGAGGCACCCACTTTTTATCTTGATTTGCAACAGAAAATCCAAAATAATGAAGATATGCACTTTTCAACGAATCTACAATGGGTCTTCTCTTTTTTGAAAATATAAACTGTCCATAAACATAACAAAAACGATCTGAACTTTGTTTACACTCTTCACTCGACATTTTAAATCAATCCGAAAGAAAATAATTGTCGTTTGAAGCGAACGAATAAACAATAAACTGTCATCACCACGTTACGTAGTTAAAAAAAAACATTCGACTGCAGAAAGAAATTGTGACGTGATAAAATATTTCTGCTAACACTAGGTTTAAGAAACGTATATTAACATATTTATAAACATTTATTTTGGGGTATAACAAAAAAGTTCAATTTTGTAAACTAGTGTTTCCTTTCCAACCGTTAAAAAAAACAGTATAAAATAACATAAAACTAATGACCTTAGAAGTATGTTTTTTTACTATTACTTATTATTGTTGTGTGGCAACAAAAATACCAAAAGTCGTAGGTAGAGCGACGATGCCGTCCTTCCTGACCTTGACTTGACGAAAAAAAGCGTTCTCAAATTTCATTCACTTGTTTGACTTGTTAAAATACATTCTGATTTCTTGTGTATTATACATATTTTGTATGCATGTTTTCATTGATTCGAATTGCAATATTTCTCTAGTAGTTGTAATTAATTATTCTAAAAACGCAATTATGTTTTCGGTGGTATTACAAACAGCAGGCTGGCCCGTGATTTTTCTGCAATATCGTCACAATACTGATTACCTACGTCATACGTGTCAGTGTTTCATATATGAATGTGTTTAAATATGTCTTTGGTCAACAATAAATACAATTATTATAAATCGGTAAACTACCAAAGTAGTCACAAAATTAAACTTGCAAACATTTGCTAAATATGGTTTTGCCGGGTTACATTAAACACCTTTTACGCATTTTGCAAACAGTTTCAGAAAGACACACATTATTAGTTTGTTTTATTTTGTAAATCTCAAGTTCGCGGTTATTGTGCGTTCAGAAACACATATAATTCAGTTACATAAAATCCTTTTCCTTTTTATTTATAAACAATAAAGCACGGAGCTTTATTGTTTATAAATAAATAGCTTATTCTAATCTGAGTTATATTTTTTTTAATCGTCGGCAAATTCTACCAGGAATTAACATTGAAATAAAAAGATAAGTAAATTTTTGTACATTTTAGTGTTCTAGATCTTGTGTTCAGAACGCAACCCAATTCATATAGAATTGAAGGAAGATTTGTAATGTGTATATATATTGTATATTTATATTTTTGTTTTACTATAAGCTTTTGTTGAGTGCTTCGAAATTAGGAAATATTATTTTCACCTTCCTGGTTATTATCACAAAATAAATCGTGTTATAGATTTGTTGTTATCTCTTGTTTATGAATTATAGTTTCTTACGTGTTGGATATGAAATGTCTAATTATTGTAATAATTGGTACTGTTACAAATCATCAGTTTTATTAGTTTTGAGTGAATAGGCATGTATCAGTATAATTAAGTTGCTTCAAATAGGTACTTCTGTTTTGATAAAATATCAATAGTGTAATGTAATAAAATAAAACTGCGTTATATTGTAATCAATCTTGACATAATTTATTTCCCAAAGTTATAAATCAATTAAATAGTTTACGCCAACAAATATAACTTTTATTTTTATAACAATCGTACATAGCATTTTGTGGTTCTGCCTACCCAATCTACACATACAGAAAAATTAAAAACTTGTTTTTTTTTACATACACGCCATCTAGTGTTTAAGGTTTGTAAACGTAGGGATACGTCTGTGTGTAACGAGACTATATTCAATGGCAGATATTATAATCAAGATTTGTGTCGAATTGGGTGGATTTTGAGGCAATGATATGACCCATTCGAATAAAATGTAATATCCGATAACCGCAAAGTCTACTCCTATGACTTAATAATTTTCCAGTTACACAAAAACCCAAATAAACTAAAAATGTTAACTTCAGCGCCATCTTGCGGGAGAATAGCTGGGAGCAGTCCGTAGGTTTCACCTTAAGGCTAGGCCTTAAAATACAGGCTTAAAATTAAAGTACGGTGTTAAATATATTTTAAGCAAGATGTAAGTGAATGAAAAAAGTATTGAAATGTCCGGGGTGAAAGCTCCAAAATCCGGGGAACTTACGCTTCCGGTCCTGGGGCAGTGGCGAAGCCTCCATAGAAGCCGAAAAGCCGGGCTTGCCTTATCAAACTGAATCAAACAATAATATCAATCAATAATATCAACTAATAAAATAACTCGTAAATTGTTTCAAACTATTTCAAATTTCCCGCGCACTCCATTGTTCGACACAGGTCGACCGATGACCTCGTATATCCTTAGCGATACTGCTGCTGTCATAAAAAATGAGTTTTAATAGAGCGATTAGTTGTCTCTCTCGCTCGCGTGGGCTTTTACGGAGCTTTCAAGAAGACGATCGCTATCTTTCTAACCTGAGGCAAAATGTTCTATAATGAAATGTAACTACGAAATGTTTATATAGCAATTACTATGGAACCAAAAGCCATGCTTTGCCCTGAAGTTATTCGGGAATGCGTTAGCGAGTGAGGGTACGGTAATACGTATGCATTGATTGATTCTCACAGTGGTACGTAAAGATTACGCTAGATGGCACAATACACGCTGTCGGATAATTTAATATTTATATTACCTTAAGAGTTAAAATATTATTTTGTACGGTTTATTAAAATTGAAAATGAATAGTTATATAATAAATAGTCATTATTTTATGGTAAAAAAAATTTGCAAAGCTTTATCTTCTCCGTATACCATATCTAATTCCTGTCGTAAGCTGTTTAAACAAAATAATTTCTGTGTTTCACATCTGCCAGGCGTCCCTTTTTTAATTTTGTACATAGTTTGTTTGTACTTTGTTCATGCTTTTCTTTTATTCATGTATTTTATTGTATGTAAATACCTTTTTCTTTCGCTCAAGCAAACCCAAACGACTCTTTTCAAAGTCACCGAAGGTATGCATATGTCATACAATCTATCCTAGCAGTAGTATGCCTTTTGTGGGCTTTGTTAAACACTGTCCTTGACAGTACTGAATATGAAACTGACGAGTGGAGACAGATCAAGATTGGTGTATTTTTATAAAACTGCTAAAAACAACAATACCATATCTTGGGCTTGCCCTAGTTTGGAGCCCTAGCTTCGCCACTGTCCTGGGGGCAGGTTTTAGAGATTTCAGCCCTAACTCGGATGGAAGCCGAGATGTTATGCGGAGAGAGAGCTCACGCGGTGTACTGGGTAAAACAACACACTGCGTTTTTGTGCTCACTATCAAGATTCTAGTAAAGTGTAAGCGAGATAGGTGGCGAGAATTGCCGTTACAGCAAATACTTTTTAAAGTGCTTGTTTGAGCAAAATGCTGCGCTAGTTGTTATTTGTGAGGTATTTAGGTGCTATCTACTTGTTATTAAAAAGATAGACCAACTAATACAAAATCTATTGAATTTCTAAATAATCTTGATTCCATAATATCCAGTTCCAATTTTTTTAAGGTGTAAATTCTTGATCAATCTTCCTACAACCAAACCACAGAATATTTATCAAGTATAAACAATAAATCATGCATAGAATTACTAATTATTAAAATCATGCTTACTTGATACATACATTATAGGGTTATCAGCGACGATTTCTTCATTCACTGACTTCATCTTCATTTCTCCAGAACGCCAAGCTTTCAAACGGCTGAAATACGATTTTCGAATGTAAACTTTTGTCAACAGAAAACGTAGGCAGGTAACTACTTAGAAATAGTAGTTAATAGAAAGGTCGTGAAATACGGTTACAGTTATTCAGTGGTGATTTAATGAAATCCCATCCAAATTTGGCCGTGTTTACGAAGAAGCCGAATACAGAAAGAAACATGATGTTTACTTACCTCGCTTCACCATGGTATCGTCTTAGTCCACCTCGAACTCGTTTTAAATTTTTGCGCGACCCTGAATATGCGTGTCGTTTGTACGCCGCCTTGCTTGTTGCAACAGACATTGTAGACGTAATCAAAATCTGAAATATAGAAAAACAAATGAAAAACAAAAGAATACTTCTGTTACTTTTAGTATTTGAATAAATTTTTTGTATCGTAATTTACAACCAAATATTGAAAGAGGTCATCAGAAACAGTCTCTGTTAGAAGTAAAATATTCAGTTATCAGAAGGATAATCCAGATCAGATAATTCTTTCTATTGGTTTGCGTTCGAAACTAAAAAGTATTTAATAAGTTTAGATGAATAAAATGTAACAGTAAAATTTTACTTATCTTTTTAAATCAATGTTATCTTATTCCTGGTAGAATATTGGTCGACGAATAACAAAAAATATATCGGATTAGAATAAGTTATTTATTTATAAACAATAAATTACGTCTATTTGATATTAAGCACGGAACAGAAAAACATTATGGATATCTAAGTAACTGAATTGTTTGTTTCTGAACGCACAGGACTTCAAAGATTTAAATAAGTATTTAAATCTTTGCAGAACCTTAGCAAACGACATGACGCGACCTTGAGCTTGGTACCTACCACAACAAAATTAAACAAACTAATAATAATGATGTGCGTTTGCCCGAAACTGTTTCCAAAATACTAAATAGGTATTTTTTACGTAACCCGACAAAACTTTATTTTGCAAATGTGTGCAAAATTAATTTTGTGGCTACTTTGGTGGCTTACCGATTTACAATTTTATTTATTGTTGACTAAAGAATATTCAAACAAATTAAAATATAAAACATTGTCTATATAGTAGTACTCAACACCGACAAGTAGGACGTAGGTAATTAATTTAGTTTAGCGTTAGCTAATTAGTATTGTGACGAGATTTGAAATCACGGGCCAACTGGCTATTTTTGATACCACCGATTTTGAATAATTAATTACTATTTCTACAATAAATTACATTATATTTCTATTGGAATCAAATACATACTAGAGATATTGCAAATTGAATCAATGAAAATCATACAAAAATAAATAACACGAAAGAAATTAATTCAGAATCTATTTTATTACAGTCAAGCGAACAAAGTCGCTTCTTCTTCTTTCAAAGAAGTACATGTAGGTTAGGAAGAATGGCATAATATACCATAATAAAATATGCATAATACCTAACTACGAGGAATGGTATTTATGTCGCTACACAACAATAATATGAAATAAAATTATTTATATTGCCGTCAAAGGTCGTCAGTGTTACGTTATTTTATTGTTTTTTTAGACGTGTCCAAATTTTCCTAGATTTTACTATTGCTTTTCTTATTAGATATTGTAAGTTCTTTCATATTAAAGTGAAACCTACGGACTGCTCCCAACCATTCTCCCGCAAGATGGCGCTGAAGTCAGCATTTTTGGTTTATTTGGGTTTTTGTGTAATGGGAAAATTATTAAGTCGTAGGAGTAGACTTTGCGGTTATCGGATATTACATTTTATTGGAATGGGTCATACCATTGCCTCAAAATCCACCCAATTCGACACAAAGCTTGATTATAATATTAGCCATTGAATACAGTGTCGTAACACACAGACGTATCCCTACGTTTACGAAGCTTGAACACTAGATGGCGTGTATGTAAAAAAAAACAAGTTTTTAATTTTTCTGTATATGTATATTGGGTAGGCAGAACCACAAAACGCTATGTACGATTGTTATAAAAATAAAAGCTATATTTGTTGGCGTAAATTATTTAATTGATTTATAACTTTGGGAAATAAATTATGTCAATATTGATTACAATATAACGCAGTTTAATTTATTACATTACACTATTGAATTTTTTATCAAAACAGAAGTACTTATTTGAAGCAACATAATTATGGTGATACATGTCTATTCACTTAAAACTAATAACACTGATGATTTGTAACAGTACCAATTATTACAATAATTAGACATTTCATAACCAACACGTAAGAAACTATAATTCATAAACAAGAGATAGCTAGACTAGATTTTGTGATAATAAAGGAGGGATATATATATATTAATATCGAAGCACTATATATTTATATATACATATATATATATATATATATACAAATCTTCCTTCAATTCTATATGAATTGGGTTGCGTTCGGAACACAAGATCTAGAACACTAAATTGTACAAAAATTTACTTATCTTTTTATTTTAATGTTATTATTATATTCCTGGTAGAATTGGCCGACGTATAAGAAAAATATAATTCAGATTAGAATAAGCTATTTATTAATAAACAATAAAGCACGGAACAGAAAAAAGGATTTTATGTCACTGAATTATATATGTTGCTGATCGCACCATAACCGTGAACTTGAGCTCTACAAAATATAACAAACTAATAATGTGTGTCTGTCTGAAACTGTTTGCAAAATGCGTAAAAGGTGTTTAATGTAACCCGGTAAAACCATATTTAGCAAATTTTTTTTTAAATTCTTTATTAATGAGCTTATTCACAATATGAATATGTCGCTCCGTTAATTCATCACCAAAAAAAAAAACAATTACATTAGGTATACTTAAACTTTTTACATTATAAAGTTCTCAAATCAATAACTAATTACAGAAAGTTGAAGAAGATATGCATTTAGTTACAAAATGTAAAATGAACAGTTACCAGATCAATCACATTGAGAATTGAGTGATCGATCCGAGAACTTCACCTTGTAAAGTTTGACTAATATTTTCATATCGACAGAATGTGTCTTAGCTAAAATTATAGCAACTGTTTGCAAGTTTAATTTTGTGACAACTTTGGTAGTTTACCGATTTATGCTTATATGCGATTTATGCTATAATTGTATTTATTGTTGACTAAAAACATATTCAAACACATTCATATATGAAACACTGACACGTATGACGTAGGTAATCAGTATTGTGACGATATTTCAGAAAAATCACGGGCCAGCCTGCTATCTCTAATACCACCGAAAACATAATTGCGTTTTTAGAATAATTAATTACTAGACCTACGATAAATTACAATATAGTCTCAAATACATACTAGAGAAATATTGCAATTCGAATCAATGAAAACATGCATACAAAATATGTATAATACACAAGAAATTCCGCGCGCAAATCATAGCGCGTGACAACCGAAATCAGAATGTATTTTATAACAAGTCAAACAAGTGAACGAAGTTTGGCAACGCTTTTTTTCGTCAAGTCAAGGTCAGGAAGGACGGCATCGTCACTCTACCTACGACTTTTGGTATTTATGTTGCCACACAACAATAATAAGTAATAAAATTGTTTACAAAAAAAAACATAGGTGTCTAAGGTCATTAGTTTTACGTTATTTTATACTGTAATTTAACGGTTGGAAAGGAAATTAACCAATTATTGAACTTAAAATATTGATTTATCAGAATTATTTAAGATCACTTGGATGCCATCCAGCTTGCCAATGTTTAAACGTCGCCTTTAGTTTGCTTGGCAAAAGTCACGCACACTACTAAAGAAGTGTCAAATTTTTCCGGGATTTTACTATTGTTTTTCTCAGTATATAATGTAAGTTATTGCCTATAAAGGTAAAACGCGTACACATTTCATTGTAGAGAAGTGATAAAATGATTAGTTTTAAAGAAAGAGTGTATAATTTGATTAAAAAAATGTATGGACGGACGGCCGGCGCTTCCACCTTAAATCAATCTTTACAATTAAAGAGTGGATCGATCAAAGCGCCTTCTGTCGTGATACGCAGGTAAAGGGCACAGAAATATCCTCTTTACCAATGAAAAAAATTTCTCGATTGAAGAGCACTACAATAAGCAAAACGATAAAGTGTACGCTTATAGTTCTTAAGAAGCTGCTCAAGTGGTCGGAAAGGCACAACGTGGTCATCATCCTGCGTGAATGATGGTTTGGTGGGGCGTGTCTTATCAAAGCGTCACAAAGCTACATTTTTGTGAAAAAGGAGTGAAAACTTCAGCCAAAGTGTATCAAGAGACTGTCAAGACTGTCTCTTGATACTTGTTGTTATCCAAGGATAGTGTTGTAAAACCTGTCAGCAATACACTTATCAAAAATATACCGTGGACTTTCCAGCAGGACTCTGCACCTGGACACAAAGGCACGAACTACCCAAGCCTGGCTGCTTGAAACCAACGTTCCGGGCTTTATAAGAGCTGAAGACTGGCCCTCATCTAGCTCAGACCTCAACCCTTTAGACTACAAGTTATGGTCAGTTTTAGAGGACATTGCTTGCTCTAACTAAACGACACGGCGAGTTTGAGTTTCTTAAAAATTCTGGAGCAAGCAGTGGCGAAATTTCCCATGAAAACCATGAAACAGTGCGTAAATCCATAGATTCGTGGCCAGATAAATTAAAAACGCCTGTATAAAATCTGCCGTGTAGTGGCGGTTGAGAATATCCACTACCCCATATCTTCCCGTGGGTGTCGTAAGAGGCGACAGAGGGAGACAGGCAGGAGATGGGCAGCAGCATCTTCCTGATAACAACTGTGTTATAATAAAAAACTGAGGTTGCCAACCCGCTCGCGCCCCGCCCGCCGTGGCAAATATCCCCCCCATGAATAACGACGCAAAAAAACGCCCCCCCGTCCCCGCGGCCCCCTATTCCTGGCTACGGTGGCGGCCATGGTAACGACGGGGCAGGGGGTGCTAAGAATCTCCGATGGAGGTTCGGTTGCCTCCTACGGCGACTCGACCTGGCAACATATAACGCACGCACCCTGAGGACTGACGAGAAGATACTGGAGCTGGAAGAAGAGGTAGACAAGTTGCGCTGGCATATTATTGGATTATCCGAGGTCCGAAGAGAGGGGGGAGGACACGGTAATCCTCGAGTCCGGCAACTTGTACTATCACCGGGAGGGCGACCACCTGTCCCAAGGAGGTGTCGGATTTATCGTCCACAAGTCTCTCGTCAACAACGTTGTAAAGATTGGGAGTGTGTCGACGAGGGTCGCGTACCTGATACTCAGAATCACCAAACGGTATTCGCTGAAGGTCATACAGGTTTACGCAGCAACCTCGGCACAT